TAATGAAACGCAAGGTGAAGATTGTGCAAGGAAAGTGATAGAAATTCTGAACGATAAAATGAACTTAAACATGGAAAGCCATACAATTGAAAACACTTATAGAATTGGAAAATTTGAAGTGAATAAAACTCGTCCTATTCTCGTAAAATTTTCAAACAACTCATACAAGAACTATGCTTTTTCAAACAAGAAAAAGCTGAAAAATACAAGGATTGTGATGAGAGAGGACTTAACTGTGGATCAACTTCAAATTATGAAAGCTGCTATCCAGAAAATTGGAAATAATGGGAAAGTATGGACCAACTTCGGCAATGTATTCATGAAATATAATGATGGAGACACCCTCATCAGAATTCGTAACTTGGTAGACATTCAAAATTCATGAATTAATCAATTGCTGTACCTGATTTTGTTCTACGATTATTATTTTCATAAGTTAAAATTCCAACTGGTACCTCATTACATTAGTTACTATATTATTTGCTCGAATAATAGATTTAATTATGATAAAATTTGCAGTTCTTCGTGCAGTTGTTCCGCACCCCATCGGTTTTATTGTTTTTTGCTCTATTTGAATATTTATCAATTTTTAGGAAAGAAGCAGTGTATCAGAGGTTTTTTTTTTCTTCTTTCTTTTACATTTTAATCTTATCCTATTTCAGTACTTTATTTGTGGCATATGTTTTTTTGCGATGTGCGAATTGAGAATAGGTTGTTTGAATGTCAGGTCGCTGGTCCCCTCCTTGCGGGAGGTCAGGGAAATGGTTTCTGATAATAATTTCGACTTGTTGATGATATGTGAGACATGGTTAACGAATGAAAATACTAATGATACACTTAATATCGATGGATACGGACTATTTAGACAAGATCGAGGGTCCAGAGGCGGCGGTGTAGGTATTTACGTGAAAAATGATTATCAAGTCAAGGTATTAAAGCAAAATGTTAAATATTCTGAACAGTTATGGTTAGAAATCAAATCAAGGAAACAAACTTATGCTGTAGGGGTAATATACAAACCTCCCAACCATGATAATTCAGCTTTTTTGAATGAACTTGAAGATACTTTATGTTTTTTGTATCCAACTGTAGATGAAATTATCTGTACGGGAGATTTCAACATGAATTTTTTAGATCTCAAGGATTCCAAAAGGGATCAATTAATTTCGATTTTGGAATCTTTAGAACTGAAACAGGTAATAGACTCTCCTACAAGAATCACTAATACCACAGCTAGTCTCCTAGATTTTATGATTGTTAATGAAGAGAATGTAGTAGATAAGGGAGTGGTAGATAATGAAGTTTCAGATCATTTGCTAGTTTACTGTATACTGAAAGTATATGACAAACTTGAGAGCCCTAAGATGTGCACATATAGAGATTTTAAACATTTCAACGAAGACCTATTTCAAAGAGATCTCTTGGTTACCCCATTTTTTAGAATTTATGATCAAGATAGCATAGATGGAAAGGTTAACTATTTAGTAAACTGTTTATTGAATCTTTTTGACAGACATGCACCTATAATCACAAGACGTGTAACCAAGCCCAGTGCTCCTTGGTTGACAGACACATTGAAGGAAATGATGTCGATCAGAGACAAGGCACTGCGAAATTATAAAAAAAATAAATCAGAAGGGAAATTGCAATTTTATAAGGACATGCGAAATTACGTTAATCAAGCTATCAAACGGGAAAAAAAAGCGTACTTCACTCATCAATTTGAGCAGAAGAGCTCTAAGGAGATGTGGAAAAGTCTCAGGGTGAATAATATACTAGCTCAGAAACAAAATGACATTCCGGAGGCTCTTAGAAAACCTAATGAAATAAATGATTTTTTTATAAATTCCATATCCTCAAAGACACCACCGGATGAGTTATTAAATTTCTATAGGAACACTTGCGTAACGGACTCGAAATTGAACTTTAAAGAAGTGAACGACTTATTCATTTTGAAAACCATATCAAACATTAAAACGAATGCAACCGGTTGCGATGAATTGAATATAAAAATGATTAAATTATGCTGTCCACATATTATTACATACATCGCCCATATAGTAAATTACTGTTTGAATGAAAATGTGTTTCCAGTGGCGTGGAGTAGAGCAGTTGTGAAGGTACTTCCAAAAAAAAATAATCCATCGGAATACAAAGATTTACGTGCCATCAGTATACTTCCGACACTCTCGAAAATATTAAAACGAGCAATGGAGTTTCAACTGAAAGAACACTTGAATACACTCTCTTTATTACCGCCGACACAATCGGGTTTCAGGAAGGGTTTTAGTTGTACAACTGCTCTCCTGCATATTGTGGATGATATATTCAGGTCTACTGATCAGGGAAAATGTACAGTCCTAGTTTTACTAGACTTCAGCCGTGCATTTGACACAATTAACTACGACCTATTGTTAGCAATTTCGCATTATATGGGACTATCTGAATCTGCTATTCCACTGTTAGACAAGTATATCAAGAATAGGCAACAAAAAGTTATTTTGAATGGTCTCGAATCACGTTATCTACAACTCACTTCTGGAGTGCCACAAGGGTCAATCTTGGGTCCTTTATTGTTCTGTATGTACTCTTCAAATATACTGAGAAGCATCACTTCATGTAGTGTTCACTTATATGCAGATGACACTCAGCTTTATTATAGTTTTTTACCTCAAACAGCTGAAAATGCTTGTATACTAATAAACAGAGATCTTCAATCATTTGTAAATTTATGCACCGATCATTGTCTCAATATAAATGCCAATAAATCTAATGTCATGTTATTCGGGCCAAAAAAGAATCGAAATGAAATTTATAACTCAATTGATATTTGTATTGAAAATGAATCATTGCAGTTAGTTCATGAAGCCAGGAGCCTCGGGGTATTACTAGATGATAACCTGCGATACGAGAAACATATAAACAAATCAATTCAGCGTGCATATTCATCATTGAAAATGATATATGGTAAACGGCACTTTCTTTCAATCAAATTGAAATCTATCCTTTGTGACACCCTGGTTCTATCCCTCTTCAATTACGCGGATTCCTTGTATGGTCCAAGCTTAACTAGTCAATACATTCAAAAAATACAGAAAGTACAAAACTCATGTTTGCGACTTATATACGGAATTCGAAAATATGAAAGAATATCACATAAGCTTCGTGAAATTGGCTGGCTGAGCATGAAGAATAGAAGGATCCATCATGCTGCTAATTTATTTCACAAAATATTATCAACCAAGACACCACCATACCTATTTAAAAAAGTAACGCACCGCAGTGATGTTCACACCTTGAATATCAGGTTCAAAGGTACTTTAACACCACCCAAATTTAGAACGGAACAATTCAAGAGATCATTTAGCTACCAGATTTGTGAAATCCATAACTCACTTCCTAATGATATAAGACATGTGAAATCACAGAAATTCAAAAGAAAACTCAGGGATTATTTGTTTGACAACCAGTAATGAGGTGGCCGTGCCCGCTCCACTTCATTCCAACACTTTTTCAACACTATTCGCACATCCAGAAGATGTATCGCCTACCTTCGCCATTATGTATGTACTGTTTCTTTCAATTTTCTTGTTTATATTTATTAAAAATGCACGGTAGAGATTTTGTGAGGTTAAGTGGAAGAGCAATTTGGTGACGCTTGCGGCATCCAAATTGAACTTCGCCTTTTGTTTTCTTATTTCTAGTTACTATGTTAATTTACTTACTATAATATTGTAACTGTTGAAAACAATAAAGTCATTTATTATTATATTATTATTATTGTATACCAAATGATATTTCTTCAGCTTTACTCAAAACGAACCGCTTTAATCAACATTTCTGATACGAATATACATTCATTGTATTGTACGAGTGCTCTGAGGTTTTCTAGTTATTTGTAAATTCAAAGTAATTCCTGAATTCTTCTGTGAACTAGTGATTCACACGAGACCAACGAAACGAGACTTTCATAAAGTCTCGTCTCGTCTCGCCGATGAAATATGGAGTCTTGTCTCGAGTCTCGTCTCGCAGCCTGGAGTCTCGTCTTGTCTCGCGTCTCGTACGAGAGTCTCGCGAATGTATCACAATTTCGTCATGCATAATCTTGTTCCAGTCTAGTTCGGGATATTCACCTTTACCTACTTTTTAGGTATAATGTAGAAGTAGGAAGAGAAAATTACAACAAAAATAACATTATTTATTGGAAAGTAAGTACCTCCAATAGGTACATAATCACATCATACATCTGAACAAGAAAAAAAAAACATAGCATTACATGTATATTCGAAAGTTATAAAAATAAAATAAAAAGTATCACGTATATTCTGAACAAATAAACAAAACAAAAACTTTAATCCGACATTATTTTTCTTATTTAAGAAAAAGGTATCTGAGAAAAAAACCTTTAGCAGTCAGATCAGCCTTCACGATCACAAATGTTTTTGTTTTTCACCCAGTCGATAAGATAGAGTTATTCTTTATCTTAGACTATTTAGCACAGAATGACTTATTTATAGATCTTCAGGTAGTCATTCAATTTGCGATCTGTCGTTATTGCAGAATTGCCTTTATATTCCACCGCCGTAAGAGAGAGATTAGTCCGTTTCCGTTTCACGCATTACGTCGTTTTACAACAATCATGGATTGTGTTTTTAAAGGATTCATGAATGAAATGTTTTGTCTGTCTGTGCTAAATAGTCTGAATTATATCTAAATATGTTGTATTATGAATGAAATTCTCAAGTTTGCAGTAGGCACGCAGAAATAGTTACCTGCGATACTCTCGCACGAGACACGAGAAATCTTGCACGAGACTCGAGACGAGACCAATGAGAGTCTCGTCTCGTCTTGTCCAAGTCTCGTCTCGAGTCTTGTCTAGAAAACGAGACGAGACCATGCGAGACTCTCGAAAACGAGACTCTCGCGGGCACCACTACTGTGAACGTTTGATGATTCAGCGAATCTTATTTATGGTTCATATGTGACGATTATCTTTCTAGAGAGACCTATGGCATCCTTAGCCCAAATGCACAGAACAGGACCTCATATCAAAAAGAGGCCACCACGTAAACCCTTGGATGGAAATCCTTTCATGAAAGGGGTCGTCTTGAAAACGCTCATCAAGAAACCAAAGAAACCGAACTCAGCCAACAGAAAATGCGTCTTAGTTAGATTATCGAATGGAAAAGAGATGGTGGCGTATATACCAGGAATAGGTCACAATCTGCAGGTTAGTTGCTACAAATAGGGATTAGCTGAAATTTCGACAAATATTGTTTATCCTGAAGGACTTTGAAACCTAGGTATCAGTTACTATAATTATTATGATCAAATGAGGTCCCCGATTCAATTCAAGTTCGCCACATGAAAAACGAGTGCATTGATTGAGAAGACACCACGATTCCGCAAGACGAGTTGTGTTTTTTCGAAGCATATCAAATCAAACTGTCACATACACATTCAAAACACCGAACTTGACAGGCCAATCAGAGTCAAGAGTCATGTTCCGTATTATCGATGATCCGAACTTGACTTGAGCTCCTGTTTGGTTCATCTGGTAACTGAGTAGGGTAATGCCAATTCAATTTCTTGTCTATATTGTAGTCAATTTTCAGTTTTGGATGCGATTTTTCTGATGGCGAGTTAATGTACACAGGGTTGCTGAAAAATAAGCTATAACCGCCAACTTCAATATTTCAAATGAAAACACATATTATATTTCATATCATTCGAATTCTGCTTCGAATTCAATGTATCATGTATTGTCCCACACCTGAACTCAACGGATACCTACCAAGGAATTTACGATAGAACATCAATAACTGGGACTGATTTTCACAAAATCGGAACAAGACAGTGGCCAAGGGTGTGAGCATCTATTTTGATTTCTTGTTCTATTTTTTTGATAAATCGGTCTCTGTTATTCGAAGATTTGACTATACTCACAGAATTCGATGCAGAATTCGAAAATCTTTGGTATAGAAGTCCATATTGCTCAAAGTGAAGTGAAATTTTCTAAAGAAAGGATGGAATGCTCGAAGTCATCTCCACAAATTTGTGGAATGCTCGAAGTCATCTCCACAAATTAATTTAGATGACTTCGAGCATCCCTTCCTTCCTTTGGAAAATTCGAAAATTGTATTCCATTAGGAAATCCTGTGTACATACATGAATTCACCATCATGAAAACCGCAATTGAAAGCAAAGATCGATAAGTTTGCCAAAAAGAAGGATCAACCGAGGGATCTACTGAATTATGAAAGAATTGGTTTCAACTGAGGGTATACGACAAGAATATGGATTCATTGACGTATGTCACTATTTATTGATATTCCAAATAACGACATCATTAGGAGATTATATCGATATTTTCGTAAAACATTCGTAATAAGTATTGATCATTCTAGAACACATGATTTTGACATGGTTTCTTGAGGGGCACACAAACTAACTGTTAGGTTACCTTTGATGAGCATTGCTCTGGCCGTCCCTGCTACATCCATAATACAATAACAGTTTCACCAAACAAAATTATGAAATTCTTTCTGGTTCCAACTCGCATTCCAAGGAAAACGATCCCACTAATTCTGGTTTCATATGACAAATCTTGACAAAATACAATGTTTGCCCCTCAGCAACCTGCCAAATGACGTAATTCTGGAATGAATAATACTACAAAGAACCATTGGACTTGCATGAGTTGAATTGATTCTAATTCACATCTAAGTGTTCTAAAGAAATGCATTTGTGTTGTCGGTATATGGAGGTTTCTTGTTCATGATTCTCTCCGTATCACCAATAAATACTACTTTTTTACTGTCATCTGAAAAATAATCATCTTAAATTGTTGCAGGAACACAACATTGTCCTGTGTAGGGTAGGAAGAGTACAAGACTGTCCTGGTGTCAAAATAAAATGTGTTCGAGGAAAATACGACTTGGGTCACGTAGTTATCACTAGAAAATAATTGAATAGATGTTTGTAGAAAGATAAATAAAATATCTAAGTACACCATATGTGATTTTTTTGTCTTTCTTTGAGGGTTCTGTTCCAATATTCAATGAATATTCACTCATCAACATGATGATACAAAACATATGGGTGGTTATATGTATGTAATAATTTATCTATGCTTAGTGAGCAGGCATAGATACTAGAGCATTGGAATAAACAAATACTCAAAAATTGAATGAAATTAGTAGGTATGTATTGGGCAAATCGATTATAAATAAAGGATTCATTTCCGAGTGATCAACTACACTCGCTGGCAATATAATAGATGCACTCGAAATATCGAAGAAGTTTGTTTATACAATTGACGTGGAAGCTGACAAAAGTGTTGAATTTCAATAAATTCATGCATATACGTCCGTATTCAGAATGACATTTACTCAACTTCTAAATAATCTATGGAGTGGGCAGCTGCTACAACCTGATATAATTTCCCTTTGAAGTTATATATGAATATTCTTCATATTATGTTCTTTCTTCGATTGTCATAAGGTATCATAAACAATCGATGTGAAGTATCATCAGAGGCGTATCAGTTCCGGTTGAACCCGAAGTGGACACGAACGTCCTCATCTCCAATAACGACCGGGTCACGTGATACACCTTATACAGTGTGTCCACCTTAAGGACTTACCACCCATGTAAAATTGTTATTATCTGACCGATTTCGAAAAACTTTTTTTTGTTGGATAGGTATTCGAAATGTCCATCCACCAAGAGAGTGATTTTGCTCATGAACTGTAATCGTGGCCAACTGCGACCAACTTTATTGACCCATATTTGAGAAAGTACTATTAGGGATTTTTTTCACAAAAAACAATGATGGATTCTGAATCACGATCACTTGAAAAACACCTTCACTGATTTTTATCATCATAAAACACAGGGTGTCCGAAAAAACGAATTTTGTTTAATAGGTGATCATAAAAATGTAGTATTGTGATATTTTTTAGGAGAATTGATGACACATTATTATTGAGGATCACTTTGAACATATGTGTACCGATTTTCATCATTCAAAAAGACGATGTGTATGAGAAAACAATTGAAAAGAAAAAGTAGGCAATATTTTTTCATCAACTCAAAAAAAATGTCAATTTGATTTTTCGAACACTCTGTGTATAATGATGATGAAAATCGGTCAGGTATGTTCCAAGTGATCCTGATTCATCTTTTTATTTTGAGTGAAGAATTATCAGGATGAAAAATATTGCTTACCTATCCTTTTTATTTTTTTTCTCAGACACATTGTATATTCAAATGACGAAAATTGGTACATGTATATTTGAAATAATCCTAAATGATAATTTGTGATTATTTCTTTCTAAAAAAACCACAGAACTACATTTGCTGATCACCTATTTAAAGAAAATGATGATTCGTTTTTTCGGACACCCTGTGTTTTATGATGATGAAAATCGGTACAGGTATATTTCAAGTGGTACTGATTCAGAATCCATCATCAAGTTTTGTGGAAAAAAATTTCTAATAGTACTTTCTGGAATATGGGTTATTGAAATTTGTCGCAGTTGGCCACGATAACAGTCCAAGAATTAGATCACTCTCTTGTTGGATGGGCATCTCAAATACTCATCCACCAAAAAAAGGTTTATTGAAATTGGTGGGATAATACGATTTTACAGGGGTGGTAAGTCCTTAAGGTGGACACACTGTATATAGTTCTCCTATTCTTGAGATGTAGTTCTGATTGTGAAGAGCCATGGGATAATAAATCGAACAATATTTCACAGACCATCTGAGTCTTTTTGAGTAGGTAGAACTTTTTGATTATTTATTATTATTATTCATTATTCCAAATTTTTTGGGATTTTCTCTCCTCGTTTCTATAAAATAAAAATATGAATGTTATTTCAATATACGTGTAGTAAGGACAAATCAGATGATTTGCCCCAAAATGTCACTGCGTTTAAAGAATTTTCCTATCAGAGAGCCTAAAAGAAAAATTCACTAGCTTGTCAGTGACAATTTGTATTGAAAAAATTTTTGGAGAAGAGAAATAAAGGTATATAGAAAAAATATATAAAATTTTCACTTATCTTTGGGCAACGTCACCAATTGTCATTGAAAACTGAAAAGCTTCAAGACATATTATATACGACTTCGCTATTGAAATAATCTCTTTTTATGTTGAAAACGGGAGCAGAACCGGTCTCGAAACGTCCAAAGATAAGTGAAAATTTGATATATTTTTTCTATATACCCTCATTTCTCTTTTCCAAAAATTTTTTCAATACAAATTGTCACTGACAAGCTAGTGAATTTTTCTTTTAGGCTCACTGATAGGAAAATTCCTTAAACGCAGTGACATTTTGGGGCAAATCATCTGATTTGTCCTTACTACACGTATATTGAAATAATATTCATATTTTTATTTTATTGAAACGAGGAGAGAAAATCCCAAAAAATTTGGAATAATGAATGTACCACCTCCTCGATTAACCTACAGACAGTATTTAAAAATTATTCATTCATTCTATACTCCGAAATATGAGAATAAGGTTCACAGTTTACAGAACACACTATATACCTACATAGATGTAATATTCATCTCGATATTTCCTAATCTGCTGAAATCTATTCGAAGTTGAAATAGACATTGGAAATTTGATTAGCAGTTCCCAATCCTCAGCCATTCATAATACTCCTTAGATTTTCGAGAGCCCCAACATGAGAACAAACAAAGGGTGAGTTATGAATGGAGCCAACACGATTGGCCAAATCCCTTTCTTACAATGTGATGTCGTAAATCCGATTTGCAAAATAACTGGTGTAGAAAGTTCGATTTTTCAATCCTTCCTGAAAGGATGCTCTGATACAAAAGATTAAAAACATTTAGAAAACGTGAATTTTGATGTTGTCCATTCACAGTCTTTTCTTTGGAAACAGTATAGTACCTCAAATTTTTGACAAATCCCTCAGCAGGTTGCTTCCTGTCATGGAAGGAAGTGTGTCGCATGTAGTTTTTGGGGAATATTTGCTATAATTAAATGATGATTACATGGTATAGTGGCCGTTGAAATTGTTTTATATACAGTATGTTTGCCCAATTTTTGTTACACATAGGGCATGTGAATGGCAATAAAGCAACAGAGACTGATTCGGCTATTGTTACTTCTCTGCCAGTGTTTGTCAGGTTATGAATGATATAAGCGGTAGACATATAAAATTGGTAGATTTGAAAATGAAACGGCAGAAATAATTTGAAAATCGCACGTTTTACCAGCAACGAGTGGTTCACTAGTTACGTGAATATGTATAGACCCTAATAACACAAGTTATTTCAATGGACATCCATTGGACAGACTCGTCTAGACAATCTAGATATCCAATGGACATCTAGAATGCATCACTGGACATGCACATGGACATCATGATTCATAGTAGGGAGACGTTTGCAAGAGAACGTATTATTCGCTTTTGTGCGATGAATACATATTTTGCTGCTGGAGTGTTTCCCCATATTGTGATTGCGTAGCAGATTCTTGATTGACATTTGGAGTGTAGAGCGCTAGTTAGATTTTTGCAATGTGATTTGAAGCTGAGATCATTGTCAATTATGATACCTAAGAATTTGGAGGATGTACTGTGTTCAAGAGATGTGCCACAGATGTTTAAGTCTAAGAGAGGTATAAATTGGTGTTTTGTCTGGTATGGAAGGTAGTGAAACTTGTTTTTGATGTGTTTAGAAATAGTGAGTTGTTGCTCAGCCAACTATGTAGGGCATCAGTTGTGTTGTTTATTTTATTTTGGAGTTCAAGTGGGGATTCATCAGAGAAGAGCAGGGTAGCATCATCAGCATACAAACATGTGAAGGCTCCTGGCAGAACAGTTGGCAGTTCATTTATATAGATAATGAAAAGTATTGCTGCTAGGACGGACCCTTAAGGAAAACCAATGTTGTTTTGTTGCATGTGGACTTGACATATGAGTTATTGTTTCATTATCGCTGGATTCTTCCTTCAAGGAAGGAACTGAACCATTCATAAGGTTTTCCTCTCATTCCATTCAAATGAAGTTAATCAAGCAATTTTTCATGTACCACACAATCGAAGGCTCGACTGAGATCGCAGAACGCTCCTGTTTGATTTTGTCCAGATCCAATAGAGTTCAGAATATTTCCATAGAAAGAATGGATAGTACTAATAGTTGAATGTCCTGCACGGAAACCATGTTGATCGGGATGCAGTAAGTTGTTTACGTTTAAAAAGTTCAGGAATTGAGAAAGCATAGAATATTCGAAAATTTTTGAGAGTACGGGTGGCACTGTGATTGGCCGATAATTTTCTAAGTTATGAGGATCTGATTTTTTGAAAATTAGGGAGACCAGAGCATTTTTCAATCTGGTAGGATATTGACCCTCTTGAAAAGAGATATTGATTATATGGGTGAGGGGTTCGATGTGAACTTTGTTTCCTAAAATATCACAAGGAATCACTCCTTGAATTTTTTCGGTGTTATTTAGATACCTACAGCCTGCACAAAAAAAGGGAGTTATTGATTTTCAAATAAGAAAGTGCGAAATAAACAAAACAAAATAACATGTGAAATATGGAAAAGCCATCAGAATATAACTTTCTGTCTGCATGGAATAACGAAGTCCACATTGTTCACTTCCGGTTCAATCGATAACCTATATTCGAAAATCTTCAGTATATTGTCATTTTAAGAACTCCAAATATGTCTGATGTGCGGTTTAGGCGGAAAAGCCTGAATACTATAGATCGACAAAAATCTCAGTTGGTATTCATATTTTTCGATGAAAGCTTGCAATCACAATTTTATAGTCTTCTCAATACTCTTTTCAAGAGACAATGAAATATTGATCACAGTCGCAACTTATCTTGAACCATTGACAGGAGGTTTCTTATAGTCCTTGGCCGCTTGGTCATCCGTATATATGTCTTATTCGTAACCATCATCCGTTATTCGTATGAATTCAATCATGACATCAACTTCCTTGGGAATAGCTCGAACAAATTACT